AATAAATTTTGAAAAAATAAAAAAGCCCAAGAATGGATATATAAAAAATGTTATGTTTATATATACATATATATGTATATGTACATATATATACACACACATATATATACACAGCTTAGTTGCTCAGTCAAGTCCAACTCTTTGTGACCCCATGGGCTGCAGCACACCAGGCTTCCCTGTCCTTTACCATCTCTCGGAGTTTGCTCAAACTCATGTCCACCAAGTTGGTCATGCCATCTAACCATCTCATCCTCTGTTGTCCCCTTTTCCTGCCCTCAATCTTTCCCAGCATCATGGTCTTTTCCAATGAATTGGCTCTTTGCATCAGATGGCCAAAGTATTGGAGCTTTAGCTTCAGCATCACTCCTTATAGAGAATATTCAAGGTTGATTTCTTTTAGGATTGACTGATTTGAACTTCTTGCTGTACAAGGGACTCTCAAGTCTTCTCAAACACCGCAGTTTAAAAGCATAAATTAAAAAAGAAAAAGCATAAATTCTTCAGTACTTAGCCTTGTTTAAGTACTTGTTCCAGTACTCAGCCTGGAAAAAACATAGCTCTGACTATACAAACTTTTGTGGGCAAAATGAAGTTTCTGCTTTTTTATATGCTGTCTAGGTTTTTCATAGCTTTTCTTCCAAGGAGCAAGCATCTTTTAATTTCATGGCTGCAGTCACCGTCCACAGTGATTCTGGAGCCCAAGAAAATAAAGTCTGCCACTGTTTCCATTGTTTACCCNGTTGCAGGTCAACTATACTTTAAAAACAAATAGATTTGTGGTTACCAGAGGTAGGGGGCAGGGGAAGGGGGAAGTGGGAGAAGGCAGTCAAAAGATAAAAGTACCAAGGATGTAATGTATAACACAATAAATATAATGAACACTGCTGCGTGTTATATATGAAAGTCAGTGAGAGAGTAAATCCTAAGAGTTCTCATCACAAGAAAAAAAATTGTTTTTTGTTTCTTAAAGAAGATCAGTGAACTTGAAGATAAACCAACAGAAACAATGGGAACTGAAGGACAGAGAGAAAAAGGCTGAAAGAAAAAGACAAGGAACAGAGCCTCAGTGCCCTGTGGTTACTGTCAAGTGGTCTAACATACCACTAGAATTGAAATTCTAGAAGAGAGACTTAGGAAAAATATTTAAAGAAATAAAAGTTGAAAAGTGTCCAAATTCTGATGAAAGCTATACATCCACGAATCTAAGAAGCTCAGTGAAGCCCAAGAAGAATAAAAGAAAACCCCACCAGAACACATCATGATCAAGTTGCTGAAAGCCAGTGATGGAGAGCATTTTAAAAGCATGTAGGAAAAAAAGACAGATTACATTTAGGGAAATAAAGATAAGAATGAATGCTAGTCCAAATTGAGATGTGTTGTAGGGTTACAGTCACACTGGATTTACTATAAAAATGTAATCTCATTAGTAATTGTGTTGATTATATGTTTAAGTAATATTTTGGAGATTAATATTTTGGGTTAAATAAAATATATTATTAAAACTAATTTTGCCTGTTTTTTTGGCTAAAAAGTAAGCTTTTAAAATACAGCTGCTAGAACATTTAAAATTACGTGTGTGGGGAAACAAAACAAACTCACGGACATACATTTGCCAAGGGATAGGGGGTGGGGGAGGGATAGATTGAGGAGTTTGGGGTTAGTAGATGCAAACTTGGGGCTCCCCTGGGGGCTCAGATGGTAAAGAATCCACCTGCAATGCAGGAAATCCAGGTTTGATCCCTGGGTTGAGAAGATCCCCTAGAGAAGGATATGGTAACCCACTCCATTATTTTTGCCTGGAGGATTCCATGGACAGAGGAGCCTGGCAGGCTACAGTCCATGGGGTCTCAAAGAGTTGGACATGACTGAGCAAATAACACCGGATGCAAACTATTATATATAGGATGGATACACAACAAAGTCCTACCGCATAGCATAGGGAACTATATTCAACACACTATGATTAATCACAATGGAAAAGAATATGATAAAATTACATCTGTGGTTTGTGTTTATGGCTCCCATTCAATTTCTATTGGACAGCATTGCTCCAGAATCCCTGCTTTACTCAGCAGCCAAAGTAATCTTTTTATAAATAATGTAAGTAAGACCATGTTGCTCTCCTACTGGAAAATCCTTGGTGATGTCCTATCCCAGGAGCATCCAAGCACGCACGAGTCTTCAGGTCTTTGTTCTTACTTTTCCCATGCCTGAACAACTCTTCCCCCGTATCAGTTCAGTTCAGTCTCTCAGTAATATCTGACTCTTTGTGACCCTATGGACTGCAGGCTGCCAGGCTTCTCGGTCCGTCACCAACTCCCGGAGCTTGCTCAAACTCATGTCCATCGAGTTGGTGATGCCATCCAACCATCTCATCCTCTGTCATTCCCTTCTCCTCCTGCCTTCAATCTTTCCCAGCATCAGGGTCTTTTCCAATGAATCAGTTCTTTGCATCAGGTGGCCAGGTATTGGAGCTTCAGCTTCAGCATCAGTCCTTCCAATGACTATTCAGGATTGACTTCCTTTAGGATTGACTGTAGGTGGGGCTTACTTGTTTAGTTCACTTTGGTTTCTGTCCAAATGTTACCTCCTCTGGGAAGCCTTCCCAGAACACCCTTTCTGAAACAGTATCATCTGTTCCTCCTTCTTCTTATTTGGCTCTTTTTCTCTCCCACAATGCTTACCGCCAGAGGATATCATAGGTGGTGTCACCATGTGACATTATAGTTAGTGTTACCTCATCTGTTTTCCTGGAGTGGAAGCTCCTGAGGGTAGGGAACTTGTCTTGTTCATCACTGTATCCCCAGTTCCTAGAACAGAACCAGGCCCTTGGCAGGGGCTCAGTGAAGACTTGTTGAGTGAATGAATGAAAGCATGACAGGTTCCAAGAGTCGGGAGAAATCCTGTATGGCCAAGTGGAGGTGATGACAGGGGATGGTAGAGGTGCAGGTGGGTGAGTTGGGAGCCCCAAACAGGAGTGAAAGTGCTGCCAAAAAGTTGGACTCCTGTTGGCCAGAATGATAGTAAAACTATGTAAGATTGGAATATTTGGGATGACAAAGTAGAGAGATGCCAACAACTGATTTTCTGCACTCATCGTAGAAAGTGAGGGAGTTTTCAGGGGGTAATGTGTGTCTGTGTATTATTACTTTAAAAGTAAGATTTTGTTTATTTATCGGCTGCACCATGGGGCTTGTGGGATCTTAGTTCCCTGACCAGGGATTGAACCTATGACCTGGTCATAAAAGTGCTGAATCCTAACCACTGGACTGCCAGGGAATTCCCTAAAAGCAAGATTTTATTAAGACACATGCACCTCAATGTTCATAAAAGCACTATTTACAATAGCCAAGACATGGAAATAACCTAAATGTCCATCAACAGATGAATGGATAAGGAAGATGTGGTGTGAATACACAAAGGAATACTACTCAGTCATAAAAAAGGAAACATGCCATTTGCAGCAACATAGATAGACCCAGAGATTATTACACTAAGTGAAGTGAGTCAGACAGAAAAAGAAAATAGCATATGATATTACTCACATATGGAATCCAAAGTCTGGCACAGGTGAACCTACTTATGCAACAAAAACAGACTCACAGGCATAGAGAACATACTTGTGGTGGCCCAGGGGAGCGGCAGGGACGGAGTGGGACACCCTGATTCTCCTTTCTGGGTTGCGCCTCTTGTTCCAGGCTGTGTCCTGGATACCTTGCTCATGCAGTCAGCACTAGGAGCCTCTGTCCCAGGCCCAGACCTTGGGCACAGCCTCTGTCCTGGGCTCTGGCTTTGAGTGCTGGCTGTAGGAAAAGGGCTCCTGGAATAATCCTTAGCTTGGATGGGGGTGTGAGCGAGAGGGCTGGGTTAGATTAGTGATGGATTCATGTGGATGGGGGCGGGGTGGATGGTAGCATAGGATTACAACAATTTAGAAGAGAGAATAAGGAGAGAGAATCAAGCATCAACAGGAGGGCTGAAAAGGAGGCGGCACATTAGGAGGGAAATTAACCGGGATCTGGTGACTGACAGTATTGAAGATAAGGAAATTGGGGCACCAAGAATGGTCCCAAGGCTGTAAAAGAATCAGTGACGTAGCCGTCTTTTTTGGTCTGTAGGTTCCTTCAGTCCAAAGGCACAGAAATGGCCTCTGAACTCCTCTGTTGCTCCACAGTTTATTCAGGGTTTATAGAGCCCCCCCACAGGGACCCGTCCTGCGCTGAGCGCAGGTCTTGTCTTGGAGACAGACACAGCGTGACCACTGCGACCATCGCATAAAGGATGCTCTGGGACCGAGGAGGACCGGGTCGGAGGAGTTTTTATGCGAGACACCTAACAGGGGTCTCCCGGAAGAATGGGTGTTTGCCAGTGTGGTAGGAGGTGGGCAAAGTGAATGAGGGCGGAGGGAAAGCACAAGGAAAGGCAATAAGACGACTTAAGAAATAAGAAGGTTGTCGAGCGGCTGGTGCACCGGGGTTGTGTGGAGGGGTGTGTGTAGCGCGAGGATCAGTGTGTGACGCGCCAGACCCGGAAGCGCGTGGAGACCGTACTTTGAGTTTGGATTGATCCCCCAATCAGCGGGGGAAAGACTCAGCTCACAGATTAGCTCCAGGGAAGGCAGCCGAAAAGCCTCGGGCTGGAGCGGAACTAGCGGCTGTCCCCCAGTTAAAGACCTCCAAGTCCGGGTACCCGAATCCCCGGGAAGCTGCGGCTTTGGGCAAAACCATTCTCTGGAGTCAGGGGAGAGAAGCCTAGTACTCGGAGCCGAAGTCCGCGGAAACAGCTGGAACGTCCACTCGCCCCTTCTCTTCGCGCTTCCCTTACTTTCTGTGCTCTGATCCGCCCCCGTAAACTCGTCCCACCGCGCGTCTCCTCGGCCCGGGCCACCATTTGCTCCTTGGCCGCCCCCTCCTGCGCGTGGTACGGCCGGGCGGGCGCGCAACCTGACAGGTTATAAAGCCCCAGCTGCGCGAGTCAACAGCGGACTCAAGATGCGCCCTATGGTGTCGGGGCCGGGTTCTGCCGGGACCCAGCCGGGACCCGGGGGTCCGGCGGCAGTAGCCGCAGCTCCTCCACCCGCAACCAATCCGGCTCCGGAGCCCTCTGCAGTGCCTGAACCCGCCTCTGCGCAAGCACCCGCGACGGGACAGAGAGCAGGATCCGGTTCCGCAGCCGTCTCGGGACCCCCAGCCGGGGCTCGCCGGGCCTCGGTGACTGGATCGGAGGCTGGAACCCAGCGCGCATCCGCATTCTCGGCCGTCCAGGAGAATGCCCAGTCCGTACCCGACAACTCGGATGCGTCGCGGACTCGCTTCATATTCCAAGGGCCGCCCTTTGGTCCCCGAGCCAGTGGCTTGGGGACTGGCAAGGCGACGAGCATCTTGCAGACACCGGCTGCCTACATCGGCCAGCGGCCTGGGGTGTCCGGCCCCGAGCGCGCCGCCTTTATTCGGAAGCTGGAGGAAGGTAAACTTGGTCTCGGGGCCCCCGGAGGAGGACTAGTAGGACTAGGGCAGCAGCAGGGAAGAGGGGGCCCCGTCGGATCCAGGCGCCCGCTGGCCCTCAGTCCCACCCCTCCGCCCACCCTAGCGAAGTCACGGTCTGCGGCGCCTCTCCGGTCGCGTCTTCCCCGTAACCTTCCCCTTCTCTCGCTCCCAGACTTCCGTCGGTGGGTCGGGCCCCGGGCCCCCTCTTCGCGCCTGTTGCTGCGGCAGACCCGCGCACTTTCAGTGCCCCCTCGCAGGGCTACCGCAGTACTAGGGGAGGGGCGGGGGGCTGCGGGTAGGCGCTGCCGGGTGCCCGTGGAGCCTGCGCCGCTCCGTGGCGCCAGCGATGGGGAGGTGGGTGGGCAGAGGGAGCGGTTTTGCCAAGGCCGGGATTAAGATCCGGCCTCCCCTCCCAAAACAATCTTGGCGGTGGGCGGAGCCTCAGACAGAAGCTGCCTCTCCTCCTCCCTCTTCCGCTCTCTTCTGGGGCGCTGGAGCTCCCCAGATTGTGTCTAGGGGCTCAGGTGGCCCCTCCCCCAGTGCTAGAGAAGTCTCCTTCTTGCCTCGCGCAACAGGTGCGGCATGAGTGACTGCGTCTGTTTTTGTGACCCGTGAGGTTCCAGTGAGCTGGCCAGGGCTGCCCTCTGGGTAAGGGATGTTGAGTCAGTCGGCACTGAACTTCGGCTGGCCGCCTCCAATCTCCTAGGTTCCAGGGACTGTAGGACTGTGATCACAGTACCTTTCCCCCGAGGGGGAACAATTGAGTTTAGTTGGCCCTGAGAGCAGGGAAGGGAGTGCTGACTACACAGGGTATGGAGAGGATATTGGCGGCAGAAAGGGAATTCCATCTTCCTCCTCTTTGCTGGCCCTTGCTGTTGAGGGCAGGGAACAGTAAGGTGCGTGCGTGCTCAGTCACTTCAATCATGTTCGACTCTTTGCGACCCTATGGGCTGTAGCCTGCCAGGCTCCATGGAATTCCATTCCTGTCCATGGAATTCTCCAGGCATGAATACTGGAGTGGGTTGCCTTTCTCTTCTCCAGGGGATCTTCCCGACCCGGGGATTGAACCCGGGTCGCTTGCATTGCAGGCGGATTCTTTACTGCTGAGCCACCAGGGAAGCCCTGAACACTATGGTGCTGCGTATTATATGCTCTCTTTTTCCTGACTCGGCTGCCCACTTTTTCTTGCAGTACTGTGTCCTGACCTACGTCCGCCTGTCCAGAAGATCACCCAAGAAGAGGTCAAAGTGATGTTAAGTTTGCTGGAGGAGGTGCGTGTTTCCCGCCCTACCCCGGCCAGCCCTAGCCTCAGCCAGGCTCTCGTTTTCACTATGTCAGTATGGATAGGTGTCTTCCTGCCTGGCTATCTCTCTAGGGGCCAAGCTGGAGGTCCCTCCTGTGGAAGACAGGTAGATGTGGGATGTTCAGGCTGGAGAGCTCTTAGCGCCATCCGGTCTGATCTCTTTTTTCATAGGGGGAAACTGAGTCAGGTCCTACAGTGGGTTCATGATAAGCTCTTGTCTGGTTCCTTGGAGAACTAGGGGACGGAGGGGGTTTCCCCAAGTGGCCTTGCTTCCCTCTGACCCCTAGCTTTTCCCACGTGTCTGGGAGACTCCAGCAGCCAGGAACTCTATTCCCCAATGGATGGGGGTCCTTCTGTAGAGAGAGCGGGACCTGAACACGGCAGCCTGCATTGGCCAGTCCCTGGTGAAACAAAACAGTGTTCTGTTGGAGGAGAACAGAAAGCTGGAAGCCATGCTGGACTTGGCCAAGGAGGAGGTACCTGGGTGGGGAGGAGCAGGGATGGGTGTATCTCAGGCCTGCCGCCAACCCACTGTGCCAGGGTCTGTGCCTGCCTCTGCCCGCACCCGACCCTGGGCTCCTCTTCCCCTGCCAGATTTTACATCTCAGACAGCAGGTGAGCCTGCGGGATGACCTCCTTCAGCTGTACTCAGACTCTGATGAGGAGGAGGATGAAGATGAAGAAGAGGAAGAGGAGGAGAGGGATGAAGAAGAAGAGCAGAGGCCTGAGCATCCCTGTGAAGCCTCAGAGCTGTGAGTGTCCTGCCCTTTTTTTTTGTTTCAATTTTTCCCATGCCTCATGGCTTTTAGGATCTCAGTTCCCAGACCAGAGATTGAGCCCAGGCCACAGCAGTGAAAACGCCGCATCCTAACCACTGGACCGCCAGGGAATTCCTCATGAGTGTCCGGCCTTTGCCCTGGGGCGGTCCCTTCTCTGAGCTTCAGTTTCCTTGTTTGCAAACAGGAACACCATGCATCTGCCAGTGGGGTTCCTGGGGCTAACTGAGGCCACTGCATCAGCCTGGGATTGGTGGGGGTGGGTGTGGAGGGTGGGGAAGCCCTGGGTGGGCTGGGAACTGGGTTCCCCAAGCCCATGCACCCTGACTTCCATCACTCCCTCTGCTAGGACTCCTGTGATGGAGTCAGAGTCGCACCACTGCCTGCAGCAGGAGGCCCTGCAGGAGCAGCTGCGGCTACTGGAGGAGGAGAATGAACAGCTTCGAGAGGAGGTCAGGATGGGGGAGAGGGCATGCTCCTGGGCAGAGGGTGTTGACTCCCCAGCTCCTTCCTTTCTCCCTCCCTCCAGGTCTCTCAACTCGACGACCTTGAGGAGGAGGAACAGATATTCATCCTGGATTGTGTGGAGCAGTTTTGTACGTGAACTTGTAACTTGGGGTAGGGGCTTGTCCCAAGGAGCAGAGGGAAGAACCCAGGACTTCAAGTCACAGCTCTGACACTTCCTAGCTGTGTGAGCTTGGACAAGTCCCTTGACCTCCCTGAACCTTCATCTTTAGAATGGGGTTAATCATCTTGGCCCTGCTGACCTCTCCAGGGGTTACAGTTGAGAAAGTGCTTTGTGCAAACAGTTAAGAGCTATATAGGTGCTCTGGGGCTCCCTTAAGCCTGCCTCCTCTTGTTGTTTGGGGAGGGAGAGGGAGGGGGCCATGAGCTGCCAGAGACCAGGCCCCCCTTCCTCCCAGGCACTGTATGAGGCAGAGGCTGTGCCTGGCACCACGTGGTTATGAAGATGAGTGAGATATAGTGTTTGTCCCCGAGGAGCTCAGGCCTAGCTGGGGAGACAGAGACTCAAGGTGGCAACAGCTGAGCAACAGCTGGAGTGAGGTGCTGTTGCCCTTACCCCAAATCTGTCCTTCCTTCGCCCTGGGTTCCCTGAATGACCAGGGTCCCAGGCCCCTGGAGTAGGAGTCCTCACATTCTGTTGCTTCTGCCTCCTAGGAAAGGCTCAAGTCTCCTTCCTCTTCCCCATCCTAGCTACCTCTAGCCCTGGCCACCTGTTACATGGTCTCTCTGCCTCCATTCCTGATCTTCCAGGCCCTTTTGCACACAGCCCAAAGGAGTTTTCTAAAGTGAACTGGGTTCCCCAAGCCCATGCACCCTGACTTCCATCACTCCCTCTGCTAGGACTCCTGTGATGGAGTCAGAGTCGCACCACTGCCTGCAGCAGGAGGCCCTGCAGGAGCAGCTGCGGCTACTGGAGGAGGAGAATGAACAGCTTCGAGAGGAGGTCAGGATGGGGGAGAGGGCATGCTCCTGGGCAGAGGGTGTTGACTCCCCAGCTCCTTCCTTTCTCCCTCCCTCCAGGTCTCTCAACTCGACGACCTTGAGGAGGAGGAACAGATATTCATCCTGGATTGTGTGGAGCAGTTTTGTACGTGAACTTGTAACTTGGGGTAGGGGCTTGTCCCAAGGAGCAGAGGGAAGAACCCAGGACTTCAAGTCACAGCTCTGACACTTCTTAGCTGTGTGAGCTTGGACAAGTCCCTTGACTTCCCTGAACCCTCATCTTTAGAATGGGGTTAATCATCTTGGCCCTGCTGACCTCTCCAGGGGTTACAGTTGAGAAAGTGCTTTGTGCAAACAGTTAAGAGCTATATAGGTGCTCTGGGGCTCCCTTAAGCCTGCCTTCTCTTGTTGTTTGGGGAGGGAGAAGGAGGGGGCCATGAGCTGCCAGAGACCAGGTCCCCCTTCCCCCAGGCACTGTATTAGGCAGAGGCTGTGTCTGGCACCACGTGGTTACGAAGATGAGTGAGATATAGTGTTTGTCCCCGAGGAGCTCAGGCCTAGCTGGGGAGACAGAGACTCAAGGTGGCAACAGCTGAGCAACAGCTGGAGTGAGGTGCTGTTGCCCTTACCCCAAATCTGTCCTTCCTTCGCCCTGGGTTCCCTGAATGACCAGGGTCCCAGGCCCCTGGAGTAGGAGTCCTCACATTCTGTTGCTTCTGCCTCCTAGGAAAGGCTCAAGTCTCCTTCCTCTTCCCCATCCTAGCTACCTCTAGCCCTGGCCACCTGTTACATGGTCTCTCTGCCTCCATTCCTGATCTTCCAGGCCCTTTTGCACACAGCCCAAAGGAGTTTTCTAAAGTCAGACTATGTTGATCCTCTGCCTAAAACGCCCAAGTAACTCCCTATTGGCCAAAGGGTAAACCCCACCCTCCCTACCCCAGCCCTCCTCTCCCCGGCCCTGCGCACTGCTCCAGCACTCTCTCCTGGTGTCCAGTGATCCCCTCTGGGCACCCCCACACCCTGCCGGGGCCCTGTTGCTGCCTCTTTTGCCTTGTTAAGCCCCACTTGGCCTGTGGAGGTCATAGCTTCATAGATCTTGCCAGGCTGGGCTTGGGTGTGGCAGCTGGGACCCCGGATGCACCCTTTACACCTGCTGCACCTTAGTTCATAATTTGCACTGTTGTGATTTATTTTTCCCTCAGTCTCCACACTGGCCTTGAGCTCAGTGTAGGCTGGGGCCGGTCTTGCTGATCGCTTGCCCAGCACCCTGCTCCGTGTCAGTCAGTAAACGTTTATTGAAAAGAAGACCTGAGTGAGGGATGTTAAGCCCCGTGGAACCTTGGGTACCTGGCGGGGTGCAGGCAGACAGGGGCATCTGGGAGGGCTCCGGGGAGCCAGGGCTGACTTTTCCCCACTCCTCCCCAGCGGAGGCCAGCCAGCAGATGGCTGAGCTGTCGGAGGTGCTGGCGCTCAGGATGGAGAACTATGAACAGCAGTGGAAGGAGGTCGCCCAGCTGCGGGTCCAGGTCATGAAGCTGCAGCGGTGCTGCTGGTGGGTGCGTCGGGGCGTATGCAGGGCTTCCTCCTCCTGTCTCAGCCCCTGGAACCCGTGCCCCCTGTCCCTACTCTCACCCCAGGGGACTCAGCTCAGAGGCCTCTGTCTCGTGTCAGAGTCAGCTTTAGGGGAGACATCAGGGGCCTCTTGTCCTGTCCCCTCGTCCCAAGTCGGGACCGAGCCTAAAGAGAGACACAGGGTGTTCCAGGAAACAGGCCACATGACTCCACCTTCTTTGGCCTTGTCCAATGTGACTTCTGTTTTAAAGAGATGCTGACACTCACTGATGTGCCTGGGGAGACTTGCCGGCAGCAGGTGCTGCGGGGGTGTGGGGAGACCTGGGATGGGGATTCACTGGCTTTCGGTCCTTCTAGTATGGGGCTGAGACTGAGAAGTTGCAGAAGCAGCTGGCTTCGGAGAAAGAAATTCAGATGAAGCTCCAGGGTGAGGTGAGGCTTCCCCCGAGCTCCCGGGACCCTTGGGTGGCCCCCTGAGTCTAACCGGCTCCTTGAACAGGGGCTGAGTCTGTCCTTTCCACATTGACTCTACCTTCTTTGGCCTTGTCCGATGTGACTTCTGTTTTAAAGAGATGCTGACACTCACTGATGTGCCTGGGGAGACTTGCCGGCAGCAGGTGCTGCAGGGGTGTGGGGAGACCGGGGGTGTGGGGAGACCTGGGGTGGGGATTCACTGGCTTTCGGTCCTTCCAGTATGGGGCTGAGACTGAGAAGTTGCAGAAGCAGCTGGCTTCAGAGAAAGAAATTCAGACGAAGCTCCAGGGTGAGGTGAGGCTTTCCCCGAGCTCCCGGGACCCTTGGGTGGCCCCTGAGTCTAACCGGCTCCTTGAACAGGGGCTGAGTCTGTCCTTTCCACAGACTCAGGCTCTGGCACAGGGCCTGGCAGGTGGCAGTTCAGTTGGGGCCTGAATGGAGTGGAGTCCAGGGGTCACCCTGTGTCATTATATGGGTCTAGGGTCTGGGCCCGTGGCCTCTTTGCTCAGGCTTCCCGGCCCCTTTGGGAGAGAGTGGGCAAGGCGTCCGGGCTGGGTGTGCTTGGGTCTCAGCAGAGCCTGTGGGCGGGTCCCCAGCTGCAGGACCTGCAGGGGAAGTACTCGGGGTGTGGGGACATGCTGATGGAAGCCCAGGAGGAGGTGAAGACCCTCCGCCAGCAGGCCCCGGCGTCCGCGGGCTCTGTCACCCACTGCACATACACTGTGCCTCTAGTGAGGCCCCCGGCTCCTGCCTATTACCTCTGTGCACCCTGTGTCTATCTGCAGTCCCTTCCTGGGCCTGGAGGTGTGTGTGAGGGGTCTTCTGGTAATGTCCCCCTCTCCGTCCTTAGGAGGCACTTCCTGATTTCCAGGAGACCCTGGCTGAGGAGCTCAGAATGTCTATAAGGAGGATTATCTCAGACCCTGTGTTTTTTATGGAAAGGTGCGTTCTGGGCCCCAGTCCCTTGCCTGCCTCACATTCACTCTTGCCTACCTGGTCAGCAGCAGCCTTTCTGGTAATGGGAGGGGTTTGCTCGATCACCCCTCTCTCCCGCCGTGGTGCCTTTTATCCTGCCTCATCGGTCCCTGGCCCTTCCACTCAACACCTGTCCTCTGTGTCTATGTTCTGGGTCTGTCACTTCTCCTGGGATTTTTCTGCACCATGGGTCCCCAGGGATTTCACACTTTCAGCTTCCCATTGCCTTGGGACAGAGAAGGCCCTTTTCTCTATTGAAGGAATTATGAAGTGACTCCAGAGGAGACATCAGACCTGGGGTAAGCTGACCAGGGTCTCCCCCTTCACTTGCTCTCACTTTTCAGCAGCCAGCTGGGTTTGTGATCCTGCAGCCCTGGAGAAGGTCTGGCTCTTGGGCCGACTGGGCTAAGGTGTTCTGGGAGGAAGATTCTCTAACCCTTTGCCTTCAAATCTTGCCCCATAGGTGGCCCTCTGATTAGAGGCCTCTCCAAGTGGGTACTGAAGCCTTCGCTTCTCCCAACAAGAGCCTAAGAGGCAAATGAGCGCTGGCCTAGGAGCTGGGAATGCTGGGACTAAGTCCCAGCTTGAGCCCTTTACTGGCTGTGTGTCCTTGGACAAGTCACTTGACCTGTCTGAGCCCTACTAAAATAGATTTGTTCCTATGGCAACTAGACATGGGATGGGTTAAGAAAGTTGAATAATGAAGGAGGAGGGCAGAGGAGATGTTATTGGTAGTCTGTTCTGTGCAGCAGGGTGAAGTTACTGGGGAAAGGGGGGCTTGTGCAGTGTTGGTGATTATTCTTCTTTATGCCAGGGCCATGGGCTGGGTGTTTGAAGCCTTGAGTCTGGTACCCAGCTGCCCTCTCCCTTGGCTGGGACAGAACTTGGGAGTAACCATCAGGGTCCGTGTGGAGCCTGGGGTTGAGTGGGAGCCCCGATGGCTGGAGCCACGCGCTGCAGATGAACGGGGAGGCTCTGGCTTAGAGGGAGCAGGAAAAGACTTTTCTGTCTGCCTGCCCAGATATGAGCCACGCTACGGAGAGGAGCGAGCACAGGAGCAGGGGCTCGAGGCTGGAGAGGAGCTGATGCCGGCCGAGGATTTTGTGCCTGCGGAAGAGCTGGTGCCCGAGGAGGAGGAGCTGGGGCCCACAGAAGAGGCAGCGCCAGCTGAGGAGGGGGTAATAGAGGAGGCGGAGCTGGTGTCTGAAGAAGCTGAGGCCTGGGAGGACCTGGGGCTGGAGGTGGATGAAGCGACTCAGATGAACATGGTAACCTCAGCCCTGGAGGCCAGCGGCTTGGGCCCCTCGCACCTGGACATAAAGTATGTCCTCCAGCAGCTGGCCAACTGGCAGGATGCCCATTTCAGGCAGCAGCTGAGGCAGAAGATGATCCAGAAAGGTGAGTGCTCCCGTGGGGGCCTCCCTCTGGCCAGCTTGACAAGCTGCAGATCATCAAGCTGATGAAAGTGAGGGTAGATGAGCCCCTCGAGGGCTCACTTACTGCAGCCCAAGCCCCCCCAGCATGCTGATTTGCATGGGCTTTGCATATTATTTACATAGACCCTTCAGGTCCCCAGCAGTGGGAACTGTGGCCCTGATGCTTATTTACATATTTGGATAGGATTCCAGTTCTCCACCCTCTTTGGTCCTGGGCCCTGGGCTGGGGGTCAGGGCTGGGGCTGAAGCCTCCCGTGGTGCCTCAGCTTCCTGTAGCTGCCTGCCCCCTTCCCCTGTACCCCACTCTGCCTCCCCCATCCCCAAGGCCCCCCAACCCTGCAGCAGTGGCAGCAGCAGGCCAAAACAAACATGGGGGGTGGGATTCTGGAGCCCAGGACTTTCGGAGGCTGGAGGAGGAAATGGCCAGCCATACTCCCAAAGCCTGGGAGGAAGGGGGACCTTCTTGAATCCCCCAGGCAATTGGGATGAAGGCCTCTGCTAGCAAGGGCCACAGTCAGAACGGTCCCCTGGCTGAGTCTGAAGGTGTGCTAGGGTCTCCTACAGGGTGGGTCCTGTAAGGGTCTCCTCTCCCCAGCTGGAAGCCCCAAGGTTGGAACAGCATCTACTGAGTAAAGGCCATGTCCTGGGCCATGAGGACCCTGCCTTGAGGAGCTCATGGAAATAATCAAAGATGATTTAGTGACTCAAATTACCTTTTTTAATCCTCACACCCCTGTAGATAGATATTATCTCCATTTGGTGAGAAACTGAGTTTCAGTGAGTAGAGTGATTTGTTCTAGGTCACTGAAGCTCTTTTCTTCACTGCTTTGCCATAATGCCTCCCCTTCCCCATCCCTCCTCTCTAACCTGGTTATTGTGCCTTCATGGCCTGCTGGGTTTGCTGTGAAGTTTATAGCCTGTTGGCAGCCTCATCATTCTACCTGGACTGCCCTGACTCGGATGACCCTTTGGTCACTGCTGGGTGGCCTCATCAGGGTTGCCCTGTACGGTTGTGCAGGTTGTACACTGAATGGTGACCTCTATGGCTGGGCAGTGGACAGCCTGCATAACTATCAACAGCTCTGTCTCTTTCTGATGTGGCTGTGCCGGCCCAGCCCCTGCGTGCTGCCCAGGCCAGGCCTGTGGTCCTCAGGCCTCCAGTTCACATCCACTCCCTTCTCTTCCAGGCTTTGCTGTTCCCCAGCAACCTGCAGAGGCCCCACAGACTGCCTGAGGCCCTTCCTTCTGCTGCCTGGCCAAGCCCCACTCTCCTCAGACCCTCTCTTCCCATGCTCTCAAGCAGGACCCCTGATCTGTCCCCAGCTCACCCCAGACAAGCCTGGACTGGAACTTGAGGGCCCAAGCCTCAAGCCTCTTCTGGGAGAGGCTGAAGGAACCCCGGCCCTTGTTCTGCAGCTGGTGCAAAAGCTGTGGCTGCCGGGCCTGGGTCACGTGGTGGCTCCCGGGGTGAAGAAGCCCAGGCGGAGGCCCCACCAGCTACCAGACCCAGCTCTCAGTTGGGGGCGGGGCTCAGGCCCTGGGCAGAGGAATTGTTCTGAGCACCCTGCTAACTATACACCCCTCACCCCTTGACCCCCAAATTAAACGTGGCTCGCCTGTCCTTGGTGACTTTTAGGGACCTGGTCATTATTTCCTGTTCTTGGCTCTTCTCGGTTCCTAATTACTGTTTGTAACCAGAAGTGTCTGTGTGGGTGAGCACTCCCTCTGCCTGGTGGGGACCTCCCCACCCCATCTCCTGTCCTCCCCACCTGTGACCTGTGAGTATCCAGGCCCCCTCCCAAGGCCCTGTCCCCCACCCACATCTTCTCCTCAATGCCCCTTGTTTCCTGTTCTGGGTGTTTTTCCCTCTCCCCCTCTTTACTTATAGACAGTGGAGTCGGGGCCCAGGACCCCACTGGTATCTGCCGTGATCCCCACAGTGCTTCTCACGCTCCTGTTGCTTGTCAGTGTGTGTGTGTGTGCTGGTGCAGGAAATAAAGGACCTGTGAGCTACCTGGCCTGACCTCTGCCATCTTTCTCAGGGAGTGCACACAGGTGTGTATGCATGTGCATGCGTGTGCATGTGTGCGTGCCCTTTGGAGGGGCAAAGCTGTGGACAGAGGATGGGCTCTAGTGTCAAATGATGTGCTGGGGGTGTTGATTAAATGCGTAATTATAGCCACAAATCCTCTGGGGTGGGTGATATGATAAATGATCGTCAGGTGATGAAGAAGATGTCCAGGCAGGTAAAGTTACCCTCCCAAGGGTCAAACAGGGCCTTTCCTGGTGACTGAGTGGTAAAGAATCTGCCTGCCAGTGTGGGAGACACAGATTTGATCCCTGATCTGGGAAGATCTCACGGGCTGAGGGGCAGCTAAGCCTGTGCACCATAGCTATTGAGCCTGTGCTCTTGAGCCTGGGACCTGCAGCTACTGAGTCTACATGCCACAATTACTGAAGCCCAAGTGCCCTAGAGCTCTAGAGCTCTAGAGCTTCTCTAGAGCAATGGAAGAGGCCACTGCAATGAGAAACCTGTGCACCATACCCAGAGAGTAGCCCCTGATTGCCACAACTAGACAAAAGCCTTCACAGCAACGAGGGAAAATAACTGAACAACTTAAAATAACTTAAAAAAAGTAACCTAAGCAATATCAGGCCAGAGTGAACTCCACATGGGGCTTGAGTGCATCTGAGAGGCACATGATCTGACTGTAGCAGACCCCAGAGAACCCCAGGGACAGGGGAGCCTGGTGGGCTGCTGTCTATGGGGTCGCACAGAGTTGGACAGGACTGAAGCGACTTAGCAGCAGCAGCAGCAGCAGCAATGATGGTACTCACCTGGTGGTTCAGAGATTAAGACTCCAAACTTCCACTGCAGGGGGCATGGGTTCGATCCCTGTTTTGGAAACCCAAAATCACACTGGCTGTGCTGTGCTGCCAAAAAAAATATGGAGGCTCAATCATACTGGGGAACCCTTTAGGAAGTGCAACCTGTTGCAGCTTTGACTGTCATCTGTGGACCAGCATCATTAACATCTCCTGGAAGTTAGTCAGAAAGGCAGAATCTCAAGTCCCACCCCATGCCTATATTGTCAGAATCTGCATGTTGATGAGGTCCCCAGGTAATCCACATGCATATTAAAGTAGGAAACACACCTATCTAGAACCCATTTCAGTTATCCCATCCTAGGGGCATGAAAACTAGGGTAGGCATCCGCCAAAACTGTCATCATTGGCTGAAGGCTGCTCCTGGGGGCATTAACTCTCTGGTGCTCTGGTCTCTCAGCACATGTACTGGGGAAAAGCCCTCTGGCAGAGACTAGCTGTGTTTGTCATGGACCATGGTCAGCGTGGGCTAAAATGGCAAGTGCTGAGGGTGCGGGCAGGTCACTGACGGGGTCTGCTACAGTCAGATCATGTGCCTCTCAGATGCACTCAAGCCCCATGTGGAGTTCACTCTGGCCTGATATTGCTTGTTTAAGATGGAGGCTGATCACAGTATCTTATAAAGAAGAATTACATCTGGAAGATGAGTGCTATAATCTGTGCTTATACCAGTGCTGCAATTGATCCTGAATCCCTAAATGATATTTCTCATCTTCCTCAGGCTATTGTTGGGGCAACTGCCTGTTTACGGTTCTCACCAGGCAGGAAGCCCCAAGACACTGCTCAGTGAATTCCCTTGAGTGCCAGACCCTGAATACTCACTTCTTCCTGCCCCCACTAGGAGGCAGTGATCCTAGCTCCTCGTGTTAATCAGGGTCAGTAACCCCGACTAATAATTGACTTTTGCCTGACAGTCTAATGGCATGAAGCGCCTCAAATGCAGGCAGTCCCTATAACTTTATTTACATTTTTTTCTTTATTTCTTTTTTTGGTTGTGCTGTGTAGCTTGCAGGATCTTTGCTCTCTGACCAGGGATCCAACATGGGCCCCCTGCTTTGGAAGTATGGAGTTCTAACCCCTGGGCTGCCAGGGAATTCCCAAGCCCCTATAACTTTTTTATTTATTTTGAAAACCTTTTTATCTTATACTGGGGTATAGCTGATCAACAGACAATGTTGTGATAGTTTCAGGTGAACAACGCAGGGACTCAGCCATACATATACATGCATCCATTATCCCAACTCCCCTCCCATCCACTCTGCCACTTAACTTTGAGCAGAGTTCCATGTGCTATACAGTAGATTGTTGCTGGTTATCTGTTTTAAATACAGCAGTGTGCACATGTCCATCCCAAACTCCTTGACTATCTCTTCCCCCCACTTTCCTCCCTGCTGCCCCGCACAACCATAAGCTCCTTCTCTAAGTCGGTGAGTTCGTTTCTGTTTTGTAAGTTCGTTTGTACAATTTATTTTTAGGTTCCACATATAAGGGATGTCATAAGATATTTCTCCTTTTCCGTCTGACTCATTTCCCTCAGTATGACATTCTCTATGACACTCCATGTTGCTGCAGATGGCATTATTTCATTCTTTTTAAAGCAAGCCCCTGTAACTTTAGATTTAGGAGAATCTTTACCGTTTTCGCTTGCGGAAGCATCTTCCCCTAGGAACCAGGATTTCTAGTCCAGAAGTGTCCAGAATCGTGGGGAGAGGAAGTACAGATTTCTGAGGTGGTTGCCCAGCAGTGATGGTCGTAGGGCCCCTTCCTGCTCGGCTCCTGGCTCCAGGTGTTCGGGCTGTTGGAGATACAGCACTGTTTAAGAACCTCTGGTTCAAAGTACACCCTGCGTCCCAGCCTCCAGGGCACATCCCCAAGTTAGTGCCTAATGGCACCTTTAATTCCAACCTTTTGGAGGCTCCTTAAAAAGCTAAAAATAGAGTTGCCATACGATCCAGCATTCCCACCCCTTGGCGTGTATCAAGAGAAAGCTCTAATTTGGAAAGATACATGCTGTGTTTATAACTTCACTATTTTACAATAGCCAAGACAGGGAAGCAACCTAAATGTCCATCAACTGATGAAAGGATAAAGAATATGTGGTACAGATACACAACGGACTACTACTCAGCCACAAAAAGGAATGAAAGAATGCCCTTTGCAACAACATGGATGAACCTAGAGATTATTAAGTGAAAGAAGTTGGGAAGAGAAAGTCAAATACCATATGATATCACTTCATGTGGAATCTAAAATATGACACAAATGAACCTATCTACAAGATAGAAACAGACTCACAGACATAGAAAACAAACTTATGGGGAATTCCCAGTGGTTAGGACTCAGCGCTTTCAGTGCCGTGGCCCAGGTTTGATCCCTGATTGCAAGCCCCACTAGGATCCTGCAAGCCCCACAGCAAGGCCCAATTAAATAAATCTACCCCATTAAAAAAAAACTTACAGTTATCATAGGGGAAAACGATTGGGGTAAATTAGTTTGGGACTAGCAGATACACACTGTCTGTGTGTGCGTGTGTGTGCTCAGACATGTGCAACTCTTTGCAACCACATGGACGGTGCCCACCAGGCTTTTCTGTCCACGGAATTTCCTAGGCAAGAATACTGGGGTGTGTTGTCATTTCCTTTATTCCAGGGGATCTTCCCAACCCAGGGATGGAACCCATGTCTCTTGTGTCTCCTGCATTAGCAGGGAGATTCTTTACCAGAGTGCCACCTACTATATAAAACATATATAAACAACAAGGGCCTGGATAGCATGGGGAAGTATGTTCAATACCTTGTAATAAACCATAATGGAAAAGGATTTGTATACATGTGTATAATTGAATCACTTTGCTGTACACCAGAAGTGAACACACAGTATCAATCAACAATACTTCAATTAAATAAAAGAGTAAAAGAATCTTGAACTCTAGGTTTCCAGAAATTCTCTGGGCTGGAAGAAGGACTTCTATCTTGTCAAAGGGGAGCAGCTTACCTTTACCTGGAGAGTGCAAAGGCTTCCTTGAGGCGGATGCCTCCTACGATGATGCTTCTTGAGTTTTGCACCCGCCTCCCTTAAGGGCTTCTAAATCAAAAGCTAACATGAGGTCCTAGCATGTGGAGAAGTACTGCTCCACATAACAGAAGAAAGGGAATGTTCACCCCCAAATGCTGCGGGACCTGAATAACCTGGATAATATGTACTAGCAGGAACCAGGACAACATACATGGAGTGGATTGTTGAGGCTGGTAGATCTAGGAGGATGAACTGCAGAATGGTAGAATGATTGGCTAGGGGAGTGTGAAACTGTTAGTTGCTCAATCGTGTCTGACTCTTTGTAACCCCATGGACTGTAGCCTGCCAGGTTCCTCTGTCCATGGGATTTCCCAGGTAAGAATACTGGAGTGGGTTGCCATTTTCTTCTCCAGGGGACCTTCCCAACCCAGGGATCAAACCCTGGTCTCCTGAATTACAGGCAGATTCTTTACCATTTAAGCCACCAGGGGAATGTTTATTTTACTTTATTTTGGCTGTGCCATGTGGCTTGTGGGATCTTAATTCCCCAACTAGGGATTGAACCTGGACCACAGCAGTGAAAGCGCCATGTCTTGACCACTGGATCACCAGGGGATTCCCAGGTGAGAGTTTATTGATACAAGTGTCAAGGGCACTTTCTTATGACTCAGGATTTAATTTCCTGGCAAAGACACTTGAAGCCTAATGCCTCACTGGGAATGACTCCTTGAAGCTCAGACAAAACAACAGTCTATAGCAATTGAGTTGAAGACTCCTGAATTGCCTCAGCAGAGTACTGAGGAAGGAGTCAAAAGGCTCAGAGAGGCAGGCTCACTAGAATGGAGTTGTGATGTAAGATGAGAAAATCCACAGATGATTGTGATGTTTCAGGGGTTATGAGCACCCTACTTAACACAGCAATGGAGTCTAACTGGTGCAGGACCCAATCTCAGAATCCCATCACAAGGGTTTGCTTCCTACAACTCCCCTAGTACCCACTGTCTTGGGATGAGTCCCCCCAGGTGCAGACTGGGAGATAAGGATTTGAGAGCAACTAGTTTATTTGAGTGGTGATCTCAAGAAACACCAGGAACAGCCTGAGGATGTGAGACAGGGAAGGGAAGGGAGCCAAGAAAGGAGATTGCTGATCAGGTTACTGTTACGGGTAACTAGGGCTGAGTCCTGCTGAGGATCTCTGCAAGACAGAGTAACATACATTTCAGAATTCACCACCGCAGGGACGAGGGAGCTAGCGCATTTCTTTTTAAAGATTTTTTTTTTTAATGTGGACCATTTATGAAGTCTTTATTGAATTTTTTACAATATTGCCTCTGTTTTGGTTTCTTGGCCACAAGGCATGTGGGATCCTAGCTCCCCAACAGGGACTGAACCTGTAACCTTACACAGGAAGGTGAAGTCTTAATCACTGAACTGTCTGTGAAGTCCCAGAGATGGGGTATTTATCCTCCAACTTTCAATCTGTCATTGACTGAGAGATGCTTCCAGAGGCACTAACTCCCCAGAATTTCCAGGCTGCTTTACATTGCCAAAACCCTCAGGTGGAGAGTAGCAAGTGCCTATGGCAGGATGCTGTGACAGGCCTAAGAGCAGTAAGGGAATATGGGTGAAATGCCTCGTGTGTGTGCCAGCTGCTTGCCTATCCGTGTGATAAATATTTATGGGGTGCCTCCTGTTCTGGCACTGGGGTACAGCAGGGAAGAAGGACACATGGTCCCTGCCCTTACAGGCAGTTTCCCTTCTAACTGAGGAGGCAGACAATAAACTGACAAGCAAAACAACTACAGATTGTGGAGTGCGCTCCACAGACAATACTATGCTATGATTAGAGACTACTGGAGGCTGCGTGTGAAGGGTGAGGAGCAGAAAGGGCAAGCCTCTTGGGAAAAGGCCTTTCAACCAAGACCCAGAAGAAAAAGAAGAGCCAGGTATGCTTATGCCCCGGGAAAAGCATTCCAGGCACAGGGAACAACGAGGACAAAGGTTTGGGGCAGGAGAGAGCATGGTATGTTTCAGTAGCAGAAAGAAAGAGTTAGGAGGAAGGAAATTTGGCATCCATGAGGGGGATGAAGACTGCAGGTCTAGATCTTAAGGCCTTGCCAAGGAGCCTAGGTTTCTTTTTTTGGCTGGACCACTCAGCATACAGGATCTTAGTTCCCCAGCCCAGGGTTGGATTTGTGTCCCCTGCAGTGGAAGCAGAGAGTCTTAACCACAGGCCTGCCGGAGAAGTCCCAATGAGCCTAGGTTGTATTCTAATTGCAATGGGCAGCACTAGAGGGTTGACTGGAGTGGCGTGATTTGATTCCTCTTTTAGAAAGCTCACTCTGATTGTGACACTGCTGTCTATTCTCCCAAACACAATATAGAGTGGGTTTTTTTTGGGGGGGTGCTGTGTGGCATGTGGGATCTTAGTTCCCCAACCAGGGATTGAACCCACATCCCCCCTGCACTGGAAGTGTGGAGTCTTAACCACTGGACCACCAGGGAAGTCCCCGCACTATAGACTCTACAGACTCTGTTCCACGTTCGGCTCTGGGGACTCGGAGGAGACGTAGCCATGGTCTCTGCCCCTGGAGCAGTACTCAACCCTCTTTCCCAGCTCAGTCCTGCCCCAGCCTGCATCCCCTGCCCTGTGACACTTGACACAACTTGATCCACTGGAAGCTAGTTTATTTTGATGTGTGTTTCATGGGGGCTGGGCTGGGCTGGGAGGTGACTGGGCTCCAAAGCTCGGTTCTCAGGGATGTTGGTCCCCTTCTTCAGCACTGCGGCGGCCGAAGTCCATCCATCCATAAGCTGCTTCCTCTTCCTCCACCCATGGCCCCTGCTTCTTGGACAGGTCTGAGGGTTGGAGGTGGAAGAGGATGTGAGGATGGGGGAAAGGACATCTAGGTTCTGGAGACTGTGGCCAGGGCCAGCCTGGGGGTGCCTTGGCCAAATCAGGCAGGGTGAGGCAAGCAGGGACGGTTGTCAGCAGCTCCTACCTGCGACCACATGTGGTGGATCCTGAAGCCCCAGCTGCCTCCGGGGGTGCGAGGCTGGGCCCAGCCGGTCCATCCTGAGTGGCTCCTGGCCCCTATTGGCCCCTGGAGCAACGGGTGCATCTTGCAGCTGGGAGTAGGGCTTCCAAGAAGCTTCGCAGAAGGCGGCCAGAGCCAGCACCAAGATCAGCGCATGTGCACACAGTCGCTGCATCTTGTCTGCAAAGGAGAGAGGGACTGAGCGTAAAGGTGGGGTTGTCCAGGCACCCAGAGGCAGGGTGGACCCTCCTCCCTGCTGACAGGTTGGCAATTCTGCATGGGCTTGTGGACTGTTCCTCCTGGTCCCACCATCTCCTCCCATGATCCTCCAATCTCAAGCTTTGCCTTTTTTAAAGGCAAGGAATTTGTAACTCAGAGCAAGGCTTTCCAAACTGTTCTGTAGAATTTGAGGCCATGTGAGTGGCTCTGCAATGTTTAAGTCTTGTGATTTAAGTGAACTTTTTTGTTTTTTTAAGTAAACTTTTAAATAGTAATATGGATGGGATATACACATTCAGCAGCAGATAGCATTTCTTTGAAGCCCACAGCAACTTCACTGCGTGGTGGGGTCACACTGTGGTAGGGAAGTTTCTGCTGCCATTTTCACTTAACTAAGGACTATCCTCTGATTCTTCCCAGGTGATGCTAGTGGTAAAGATCTCGCCTGCCAATGCAGGAGACAGACACGGGTTCGATCCCTAGGTCTGGAAGGTCTCCTGGAGGAGGACACAGCAACGCACTCCAATATTCTTGCCTGGGGAATCCCGTGGACAGAGGAGCCTGGCAGGCTACAGTTCTTAGCGTCACACAGAGTCAGACACGACTGAAGCAACTTAGCTTACAGCTATGCACAGAAGAACGGGCAGGTTTTCGTGCCACCTGCCATCCACTGAGGGAAGAGCAAGATGCCCAGAACTCAGAATTTGGAGAAGGACTCGAGCACCCTTCACCCCTTCAGCCTGGGATGTTAGGTCACTCAATAAGTCAATATCTCAGTGCTGATGGCACTAGTGATGCCTATTCATGTCCACTTTCCTGCCTGGGATGTCCTTGGAGCCTTAGCCTGGGGAACATGAGNCCATCCTCTCCCCCTCTTACTGGGTGCTCTCACCTGCAGAGCTGGGAGGTGTGTGACGCTGCTGTTGGCCTGGAGCCTCACTCCTCTGCTCTGCTGGGTGTTCCAGCCCTGACTTATAAACCCTCAAGGCCCCTCCCAAGCCCTCCTCCCCCAGGAGGGGAGGCTCCCCAGTGCAGAGGAATAGGGGTGGGCACAGGTACCTCACCCCTGCCCCACCCTGTCCTCAATCCGTCATCCGGATGTGGGGGAAGAGAAGGGGAGCTGACCTTCACCGTGAGGGGTAGGAGCAGGGTGGGGGCAAGTTCTTCATTTGGACATGAGGGTAGGTGGGAGACAGACTCCCTGGGGTCACGGGTAGAGTCCCTGCTGTGTCCTTGGGGTCAGACACCTGTTGATCATCCCTTGGACCACATCCCATTCAGGTGAACCAAATGACCTTAGATTCAGAGAAAGAGTGTTTCACGACAGATTGATATTTGAAGAACAGGAAGTGTGTGAGTGTGGAGTTAGGTATTGATCCCCTGTCCCCTCTGTCAGGCTCTGCAAACAGGATGTGTCACAGTTATCAGAAGCAATGGGCCGTGGGCTGATGGCCCCTCTCTCTCTGCCTGGTGGCTGCATCCTGGTTGCCTCTGAAGCCCCTTCACCTGATTTACCTGGAAATCCTGAGTTTCCCCCCTTCCCATGCCCTTGATGCCCTCTGCCCTGAGCTGGATTTAGCTTGGGGCTCCCCATCATCTCTCAAGTCTGCCCCTCCTCCCCTACTCCTTCCTACCCCCACCCTGCCCCCAGCCAGTTCCTTGAGGCTCCTACACTTCCGGGCTCCCTCCCTCATTTTGTTTTCAAAGTGACATATTAACCTGCACTTTTCAATATAAAAATACATCTTAAAGTGGTTAACAAACAGACTAAAGGGTTTGCCAGAAAACCAGAAAATCGAATGGTATGTTTGGTTGACTTATTTGATAAACTGCTGCATTGACCTGGTTTGGATGGATGTAACTAGCTCTAGGCTGTGTTCGATTTTTCCACAGTTGAGACTAGAGATTTTGCTCTTGTTCATACGTCAACAGGCCCCCTCCCTGTCTGGGGGAGTTTTGATGTCCCTTGGGTCCTGTATAAGGGGCTATGGTACCCACACTCACAGCCAGTCTTGCTGAGAATGAATAGGTGATGAGAGAAGCAGGCTGTGAGGTGTCCATGGCAACCAGTAGCCAAATGTTCTGATAAATAACCAGTCTCATCCAGAGCAGGACTCAGTGACTCAGCAGATGGAGTACATGAAAAATGACAAAAACGGGGCAGACGTTGTTGATAATTAATTGAATCACAGAATCTCAGAGATGGAAGGGACTTTGAGGGGGCTTGGGAGAAAAGGTGGGGTGGGGAGCAGCTCTGCTCACATCCTAGGGGAATAGAGATGTTTGCATTGCTATGGTAACCTGAAATTATAAGCTTTCATCAAAGCTCTGGGTGTACAGGAACTGAGACCTGATTTCTGCTGGGGAGGGGGTTATGCTGCCTTGGCTGTTCTGTAGGCTGGTTCTGGAGGAGTGGACACTGCACAGAATAGAAACCAGTAGTACTCTCATTCAACAGGCTTCCCCTGTGGCTCAGCTGGTAAAGAATCCACCCTCAATGCGGGAGACCTGGGTTTGATCCCTGGGTTGGGAAGATCTCCTGGAGAAGGGAAAGGCTCCCCACTCCAGTATTCTGGCCTGGAAGGGTGGCACAGAATAGAAGCCAGTACTCTCATTCAACAGGTGATGGTGGAGGGCTACTGCTAGCAGGTGCTCACGGGCACGCGGGGGTTGGGTGGGGGTCTCACAATCACAGAAACTGCATGTTCTCTTCACAAGGGGAGTTTGCCCTCTGGCAAAGGGAAAGGCTTCCTGGCACTGCCCTCTTCCAGCTTTGGGCAGATGCCTCACTCTCTGAGCTGTTTTCTCTCCCTGGAAATGAAGGAAATAACTTAGAGAGGAGTCTTTAAGAAGATATACTTAAAGCACAGGGCACAGAACAATGTGGGCATCTAATTCATTTACATCTTCTCCCCTTAGCCTCTCGGGCCTCAGTTAGCCTCATTGGTGAAGTGGTTATCACTCATTCCTATCTCACATGACTGCAGTGAAGGGCGGATGTGACAAGATCTTGCATACACAGGGTAGCTTCTTCCCTTCCAAGGACAGAAGAGCGTCATTCCCTAAAAGCCTTGTCTTTGAATCCAGGGTTTTCCCTCCTGCTTGCCACGGCTCAGAGGGACGCCGGCCCTGAGCTGCTATTGACGGCGGCGGCAGGGAGGGAGGCTATGGAGGCTGGGCCTCTCAGGGGCCGACACCAACTGGTGTGCGGAGGGCTTTGGAATTCGTGAGCCAGGTGTGGAATCCTGGCTCTAACACCAGAAAATCCACTTTCTGGGTCTACCAAGTTGAAGAGCAGATCCCAGAACCTGGGGCCCAGCCCCCTCCCCTGTTCTCATGGTAACAACAGTGCAGAGTGCCAGGCACTAACTCCTCTGCGAGAATGAATGTAGTTGCTCTTCTCCATGATACTTGGACATAAGTGTGAGCATGGATGAAGAAACTGAGGCTCAGACAAGCAAAGCAATCCCTGTCCTGAGTTTACACGATTGATCAAGGAAAGCTGGGCTTGAAACTCAGATCTCTATCTTCCTAGTGCTGGGGTCTTTCTCCTCCCAGTGGGGATATGGTGGGTAGAATAATGGTTTCCCAAAGAGGCCCACACCCAAACCCTGGGACCTGAGAAGATGTGGCAAGAGAGACATTGAACGTGTAATTAAGATTACTGACTTTAAAATAGGAAGTTCATCCTGGATGATTGGAGAGAGCCCGGTTTAATCAGATGAGCCCTTAAAAGCAGAGAACATTCCTGGGCTTGAAGCAGAAGTGATGTGGCTGAAGGATGAAGCAAAAAACTTGAGGAGTGTGAAGGACCAGCTCTTGCTGGTTGGACAATGGAGGGAGGAAAAGACGAGGGATGCAGCTGGCCTTAAGGGTGTAAGTGGTCCCCGCTGACCTCCAGCAAGGAACAGGGACCTCAGCCCCCACAGCTGCAAGGAATTGAACTCTGCCAACAGCTCAGATGAACTTGAACTTGGATTCATTCTTGGCCCTTCCAGAAAGGAAAGAAGCCCTGGTGACACCTCGTTTTGGCAAAGCGGGCCATGCTATACCCGGACTCCTGATCTGCAGAACTGTGGGGGATTGAATTTGTGTTGTTTCAAGCTTCTGAGTTTGTGGTCATTTATCACGGCAACACTAGACAGTGAGTCCAAGGGGTTCCAGCCTTTTGAAGGTTTCTGTCAGCGAGAACAGGCTCTGCATGAGTTGGTGGGTGATTTTTCCAATGCGATTAAGCTTTTTTTTTTTTTTTTTCCTCAAAGCTTTTGGCTGTTCTCCTAGTCCATTTTTGTTTCAGTTATTGAGTGTGTGCTGAAAACCAGGGTCTGGATGAGGCCCCAGGAATAAGAGGTATCACTGACCTTCTCATGATTTTGGTGGAGTTTAGACTCTTGTAGAGGGGGACACACAAAATAGACCATAACAATGGTTCCCCATCAAGAGGAGAATCCTCCCTGGGGAGGGAGACTCTCCAGGGCAACATCCCCCCAACCCCTATCCAGCACCCGCAACTACACTTCCGCCTACCAGGACCGGTCTTGCGGAATCTCTGATAAGCTGCTGTCTGGGAGGACATGCTTGTCTTCCTAATCGGTTATTGATATTAAAAAAAAAGGAGAGATTGATGATGACTCAGTCACCCGCCTCAGGTGATGGGGCCTTGGAGGGTGTGAAGGTGCTGGGACAAGCAGTGACACCTGGTGCCATTCGTGTCCACTGGGGCATCCCCTGTCCCTCCCAGGGCAGGGGCTGGGGAGGAGGACATGGGTTCACGACTTCTGGCCTCACTTGCTGTCTGAGGGTCATGAAGGACCAAGAGAGGACAGCCCACATCATGCTCTCGGGCCAAGCTTTAGCCTCTGCCTTCGCTCCCTGGCCCTGCCCCTCACCTTCAGAAAGGCTGGGCAGGAGGAAGGAATTTGACACTCACAAGGGGGAAGAGGAGAGCAGGGCTAGTCTTTTTTTAAAAAATGCTTTTATTGAGTTATTTATTTTTATGGCCACACTGGGTCTTGGTTGCTTCTCTCTAGTTGTGGTGAGCAGGGGCTGCTCTCCAGTTCCCACTGTGGTGGCTCCTTTGGTGGCAGAGCTCGGGCTCCAGGGTGCCTGGGCTTCAGTAGTCGTGGCAAGTGGCTCAGTAGCTGTGGCTCCCGGGCTCCAGAGCACAGGCTCAACAGTTGTGGCCCAGGGACTTAGTTTCTCCGAGGCGTGTGGGATCCTTCTGGATCAGGGATTGAACCTGCGTCATCTGCAATGGCAGGCAGATTCCTTACTGCTGAGCCACAAGGGAAGCCCAAGGACTAGTCTTAAGGCCATGGCAAGGAGCCTATTTCTTTTTGGCCAGACCATGCGGCATGTAGGATCTTATAGTTCCCCAACCAGGGATTGGACCCGAGCCACCAGAAGTCCTAACCTAGCCATTGGAGTCCTAACCACTGGACACCAGGGAAGTTCCTCGCCTTCTCGTCTGCTGCCCACCTGGGCCTGAACTGTGCTCAGCCCACACTTCACCCTGGGAGCTCGAAACCCATCTCCCACACCAGGCTGCAGCTGGGTCCTCTGACATCAGAAGCTGGGGTGAGGCCCAGGCGGGAGTCTGTGCGCAGGAGTTTGTTGAAAGAGAGGATGCGGTCAGTGGGCTCTGACCCTGAGCTCCAGTCCCAGCTGTTTCACTTCCCGAATGCCATCTAAGGCGAGACACAGACTTGAGGGGACGCTGGGGGGGCAGGGTGGGTCTTACTTACAGGGTGGTGGTGAGGGTTAAAGGAGATGCCTGTAGCCTTCACGTGGTCTCTGACCCATGGCAAATTCTAAGGTGTTATTGTTCGGTCACTAAGTCCTGTCTGACTCTTTATGACCCCCATGGACTGTAGCCCATCATGCTCCTCTGTTCATGGGATTTCCCAGGCAAGAATACTGGAGTGGGTTGCCATTTCCTCCTGAAGGAGATCTTCCTGACCCAGGGATCCAACTCGTGTTTCTGCGTATCCTGCACTGCAGATGGATTCCTTATCGCTGAGGCACTGGGGAAGCCCCCAGTTCTAAGTAAGAGCTGCTATTTTTATCATTGGTGCTTTCATTTCCACAGGCTTATCCTCAGTGCTGTGGCATCTGGCCGACTCCCAGAATATCCATTTCCCCCTTGTCCTTGGTGATTTTCCTCCCCTGCAGGTTTGTGCCTCCTCCTGCAGGCAGGCCTCACACCAGCTCCTCAGTTCTATCCACCTTCTGCCTCCTGCAGCCCTGGTCACGTCCATCCTGTGTCCTGTTTTGCCTCCCATATGTTAATGTGAATGCCTCCCCCTGTTGAATAAGAGCATATCACCTCACTTAACACTCAAAATCAAGCCTGGAACCCCATTTACAGACTGTCAAAACCCATTGAATGCACATTTTGGTCAAAATCCACTGAGTGCACACTTATGATTTGTGCATTTCGTGGTATGCCAATTTTATTTTAAAAAACTATTGCAAATGCTGAACTCTCGTTAATGAAGTGCTTAGAGCAAAGTGTACTGTGCATTTATTTTGAAATGCATGAATAAACAAGATAGACAGCTGGATAGATATGAGATCAAGAACAGCAAAATATAAATTATAGAATCTAGGCGATGGGTGTATGAATGTTCACATTAAAATTCAACTTTTTTGTGTTTGAATTTTTTAATAATAAAATATTAGCAAGTGTTTTGTTTAGCAAGATCAGGTGGTGGTTTTATTTATTTGGCCATGCCTCGCAGCTTGCAGGATCTTAGTTCCCCAACCAGGGATTGAACCAGGGCCCCCAGTAGTGAAAGCTCTGAGTCCTAACCACTGGACTGCCAGAGAATTCCCAATAGTGGTTTTAAGTGGGAAAATAATTCTGAAAGTACCTGTGAGAGGACCCTGTACACAGGTGCATTTCAGAGATGGTCAGCCAGGTTGACTTGCTTGCCCCCATCCCACATGTAGGAGGTAAGGAGGCTGAGCTGTGAACCTAATCTCTCTTTTTGGTCTCTGGGTACCTCTGCCTCTGCTTGCTTGCAACCTCTGTTCCACC